AAAAAAAAAAAAAAAAAACTCACTTTAACCAATGCAAAGTTCCAACTAGGGGCGTAGAGTGGCGCTACGTATTTTCATGCAAAAGTGGATGTGGCAGCTTCGATGGTGCCATTAGCTTTTTTAGTGCATGTTCGGACATCAAAGTCGATCGCAAATCTTCTATTGGAAGCTTCCGTGAGTAATCGACAATCCTAGTGGTGTTTGCTTGGATCGTTTGCGGGATGACTTCTTTTTTGGGCCTTGTCTGTCTTTTGGGCTAAGATTTGTGTGGGCCATATCTTCTTCTTATCGTATATTTCATGGGTGTAACATAGAGACCCCTAGGTTTCTAAGCGAGGAGAGATCGCTTGAGCCGCTTAGAAAGCTATATCCCTAATCAGTGTCCATGTGAAAGCGTATTGACGATTACATAGTTACATCGAATGGTGGTGTGCGAGGGTGAGATTTACTTGATCCTTCGGCTGTGGGTGGGGTCGTCTATCTAGAATGGTTCGATGTTTGAGTCTCGACTTCAGTTAGGCGGTTTTTGGAAGTTTTTGGAGCTGTTTCTCAGGTTGCGGTCCAGTCTGTTTGGGTGGGCAACCTTGGGACAGTTGGTGTTTCGTGTTGGGTTTGGATTTGCTACTGTGAGAAGGACTTTTGGTTTGTTTAGGTGTGTTGTTGTTTTTGTGTTGTTTCGTTTATGTTTTATCTTCTTTCTTCTTTTTGGGAGTGTGTTTGGTGTATTATCTTGGTGGGAGCACTTTTTTTTTTCTCTTTGTAAGAGTTTTTTTAGTTGTGTTCGCGTCGTAGGTAGACTCTAGGTTGTCATCTGTCTGTACGTGCAGTCTTTCTATTAGAGTCATTTATTCAACTTATTCGGCCATTGGCTGTTTTTTTGGTTGTGTAGCTATTCTCTAGTCTCGATTGTGTTGTGAATATAAGTGTTTCTTATCATTTTGATGAAAAAAAAAAACTATTATTATAATACACAAATATCACCATTCATTTCAGCTGACCTCATCATCTCCAATGTATCCATTCTCGACTCATACCTCAATTTCACAGCTCCATAGATCCACTCACGGACTCACAGTCCGCCGCCGTGGAAATCAATGATGAAGACGAAGCAAAAGAATCAACGACAATCCCCGTTGAGAAAATCCCCTAGATTCTCATCTCCTTCAACTCATTTTTCGGCCCGATCCAAACCCAAACCCAAACCCAAACCCGAAACCAAAACCAAATCCCGGTCTGACAAATCATTGGCCCTGTCTCTGCCTGTGGTGGATCAGGCTCCCCTTGACATCTGCTATCCTTCAGACGAGGAAGATGAACAACCTATTCGCAGATCGTCGAGATTCACCGCGAACAAGTACAAAACTTCATCGCCAAAGGCCACCGGACCAAAATCGTTTCCTTCTCTGCCTGCGTCTCAACTGAGGAGGTCCCAGAGGTCCTCATCCAAATCTTCTTCATCAGCTCCGGCGTTGAGTTTGAGAGACGGCGTGAATATGGGTCCCGGGCAGAAACGGCGTTTGCTCCTGGATGGTAAAGAAGCGGCGGTTCGGGTTAGGAAGAAGTCAAAACCCTGTCCGAGTGAAACAGTTGTGAGGAGGTCTTACAGGTTAAAAGGGGTCGTCAGTGGAAATTCAGCCCCTCGACTGCTCGAATTACCCGAGCCTAGTGCTAAATCTGCCAAAAAGTGCTTTTTGAGCGAGAAGTGCTTAAGGTCGAGAAGTGTGTTGATGCATAAGGTGGAGAAGACTTCTACTGCGGAAAATAGTGATGATTTAAGTCTGAAGTGCTTAGGGCCTCCTTTGTCTAAGCATGCATCAGTAGAATCGCCTGGAATTGAAGAGAAGGGGACTCTGAAAAGTGCTTATAGTCGAAAATGCTCGAAATCAAGAACTGTTAAACTGAGTGCTGGAAATGATAAAGAGAAGGGAAAAAGTAGGTCCAAAAAAAGTGGTGAAGATGTTAGTAATAGAATAAAGGGGAAGTATTTAAGGTCTGAAAAATCCGTGCTCACTATAATTGAGTTGCCTGAAAGTCCGATGAATATGAGGAGAAATAGCTTAGGCAGGTCTCAGAAGGATAGTGGCGAAAGCCCAAAACTTGAGGTGCTTGTGGTATCTGAGAAAAATGCTTTTCCGAATGAGATGTGCTCAAGGTCAACAAGAAGTGTGAGAAGGCAATTGCAGAAAGAAATGTTGGAGACAGGGAATTCTGTAGGTGGATTGTCTAAAAACTCAACAAATTCAAGGATTAGCTCGAGGAGGCGCCTTACGGATCATGGTGCAAACTCAAAAGCTGAGACTCTTGTGTTACCACAGAAAAGTGCTATTTCAAGCAAAAAACGTTTAGAGTTGAGAAGTGTTGAAATCCAGTTGAAGGAAGAAAGCTCTGAGAGAGAAGGCTCTGCGTTGAATGAGAAGCGCTTACTGTCCCCGAAAATAGAGTCTGTCTTAAACGAGCTGTTTGGTATTAATGAGGAGATGGATGTGGAGAAATGTGATATGGATGTACAGAACGAAAAGTGCCTGATATGATCTAAAAACATTCAACATAAGGTTAGAGACAGATGAAAAGTTTGAGGACATATAGGATGGAGTTGAAGGGCTTCTTCCAAGAGCGAAGCTAATGCACATACAAAAATGTAAATGAATCCAAGAAAAAAGAGAAAAGTGTTGTGTGCTGTTTTGTAGAGAAGCCGATTCTGGAAGAAAAAGCTCAGAAAAAGTTGTAATGGCGTTACGAATTAAAGGTAGATTATTGAGTGCTGATTTTACTCGAAGAATGAGTCTTGGTAGTATTCTCTTATCACGAGTATCCAATTATCCATGACACTTGGTTGACGAAAACATCTAGTGGCAGCCAGAAAGTAGTTGAGAATTGTCAGATAAATAAGTAGTTTATGGAAAGGAGCTGAAATGTCAACTTAACTAGAAGAATGTTTGATAAATAAATTGCAGAAGTCCACAGTGCTTAGCTTTTTGTAAAAGTCGAGTCATACAAAGCAATTATTAGAATCTAATCGATTAATGCAGACATGGGAATGATAACTAGAAGGAGAAGATGGCGTTTTGAGAATCAATTCATAAAAACGTCTTGTTTCCCCTTTTTCAGCTTTTGGCTGATATTCACATTTTTCCCCCGTCATTTTTAGACACCATTTTAGTGTCATCCGAAACCAGAACCTTTAAATAATCCATTCATATTGCAGTAGTTGCTTGTTTACTTCTTGTTTCCACATTGTAGTTACTGTTGATTCTTGCATGTGTCTGGAGTATAGTGCATGAGCAAAACATAATTTTGAAACTTGTGAATTTCGCTTTTCTTGTTTATCAGAATTTCCAATCATCGATTCTGACTTTGATCAATTTTGACTCAGCAGAGCAATAAACAAGGCAAAGGATGGAAAATAAAGCGAGTGAAATCTAAGAAACACACATCTCGGTGGTAACAAACCGTGGCCCTGTTCCTTGATGCTTTGCATTTTCAGTCATGTTTGTGTTCTTATATATTGTTTTAGTTGCTACAGTGTCGAAGAATATGAAATAATTTCATATTGAATGTGGCTTACCATTATGCTCAAGCCAAAGTCGGTAATTTTGTTCTGGATAATGGAGATTATGTGTATATATAGGTAATTTTTCATTTCCTTTCATTATAAGCCTGTCCCGTACTTTCTCTTTATGCACGGCTATAGTTGCTTTTATTTTTTTCATTTTGGTTTTCTTTTTCAGCTGAAAGTTAACATCTTGATCGTAAGTTGATAGTTTGACCGTTCCGCAATTCTATCCCAACCTCTATAGATATCCAATTCAATACTTCTAAAACCGATATTTAAAACCGATACTTTTGATCATATAGCGAGACAACTTCCTCAGAGTATACATTAGTCACACAAACCTCATGGCATAATATATTACCAGGATCAGAGTTTTATACAGCACACCACACACTTATTTATTAAAAGCACACACAGTGCCCAGAGATATCTCCATCACTGAAGTCTCGGCAGCACACAATAGGCGAACCAGGAAACAAATTCAGATTAGGCCTTACAGAGGCACCCAACTATGAATTTGTTTGATACATGGCTTTATTTTATTATAAATATATGTGTTTTTTCATTATTATAGATTAAGTATGAACATAAACAGCCAGTTTATGGTCAGAGCTGGCATTCTCCAGGCTTGGGGCTCTCCTCACCAATGTCACAACCTTTATCCAATTGGTCAGACTGACTTTCGTCTCCCGATTGGTCAGACTCACTTTCGTCGCCCGATTGGTCAGACTCACTTTCGTCGCCAGATTGGTCAGGCTCGCTTTGGTCGACAGGCAACGGTACTATCACCTCCTCTCCATCAGTACCCGAAGCCTCAGCCTATGCATTCACCAGAAATAATCATATTTTATTTATCCATAAAAGCTATAAGCACTACCCCAAAAAGAAAGAGAATTAATGAAGGAAGTCTTGACTATTCAGTTGCCAGAAAACATGATGTGATTTTAGAAGGAATTTGAATTTGGGTGGTTATTACCTTTTTGCAGTCGTTAAGCAGTACTTGGACATGCAGGCGGCGTTTGGGCCTCGGCCAAGATCCTTCAGTTTTCGAAACCTTAAGAGTAACAAAGGAACCCTCTTGTGTAGCCACATAAGTTGTCAGTAGATACCCTCCTTTAGTGTATTTATACCCATCGCCATCATCTTCGAAAAGGATCCCTTCAGCGTTACCTGCATTGAAATTGAATCTCAGCACATATAAACGATGAGCGGAAGAGAGAGAGAGAGAGAGAGAGAGAGAGAGAGAGAGAGAGAGAGAGAGAGAGAGAAGATTAATTACCTTGGTCATCATCTATGGACACTATGAGTGTCAAATCATCAGTAGGTTTAGCGTCGGAAACAGACTCGTGTGGAGGAGCCACTGGTATGATCGATCCACCTTTTAAAAATAACCGCGGCAATTCCTAGGTGTGCCGAAAATGGAGATAAGTATGTCAAAAAATGAATAAATAAATAAATAAACAACTCGTATGGAATGAAATATAGAGGAACACTAGCACATACTGGGCGATAATCTTCGAAATTAAATTCCCGCCAAATACTGCCTTCAGGCAACACAGGGATTTCTCCAACATTGTTCTCTTTGTTAGTGCTGCAACATTGAAGTTAACACAGAATCAGTAGAAGCATATTGTTTCCAGTGAATTATGAGAGAATAATCAGTTATAACTGAAATTTTGATCTCTGGAGCATATTATTAGGAGAAGATGAAGGACCTGGTATATATGAGAAGCGGTCCCAACATGAACGCGTTTTCTTGTGATGTAAGCTTAGGATCTGCACGACATTTTCAAATGCTATAATAATACACGGACCGACCGATGAGGAAAAAAAAGGGAAGGGAGAATATGTATTATGTACCGGCAAAAAACGTAGGAGTTGCCACCGGAATGCCCCTTTTATGGGCCACGTAAAACAGAGTGTACAACAAGGGTAAAATCCGATAACGCCTTCGCAATGCCAGTCGACAAATTTCTTCGACCTGTGAGAGAGATGGTTAGAAAGGGGATTAGATTATCATCACTTGACCAAATAGTTGAAAGAGATAGAGAGAGAGTAGTTGAGAGAGAGAGAGAGAGAGAGAGAGAGAGAGAGACCCTATCTCCAAAAGACCATGGTTCGTGATTTTTTGTGTTCTTATTCGAATGTGCACGGCAAAAAGGAAGCATAGAGCCTATGCCCATCCACCTTGCAAACAGTTCAGGTGTAGCATTGCCTATAAATCCACCGATGTCAGGCCCCGAGAATGGCTGACCACTCAGCCCCTGTAAATTCATTCATTTAATTAACACACACATCACCAAACATATTTTATTATCTAAAGAAAAAACATTATCAGAGGCATTACCAGGTTGAGAACCATGGGGATGCTCATTTTAAGGTGGTCCCAATCGGAAACGTTGTCGCCTGTCCACGTGGCAGCATATCTTTGGGTACCCACAAATCCAGCTCGAGTAAGAACAAATGGACGCTTATTCTTGTTTGCTAGCTTCATGCCTTTGTGTGACGATTTCGCCATAAGCATACCGTAAACCTAATATACAGAAACCCAAATACTATGTGAGTGAATGTGATCGATCATATAAGCATTATTAGAAGCTTAAATAAAACATGAAAGAATGAATTAAAGATTAGTTGTACATTGTGATAGTGTGGATGGTTCTGAACTCCTCCCTGAAGTTTATCTCCCCAATGAACATTGTCGCTCGGCATTGTTTTTTCTCCATTCTGTCAATATTGAAAGAACGGAATCATACCGTGACGGGAGTGTAGCCATTCCCATTAATAAGAGTAATAATAAAGAAGGGGATGGAAGCGTACCTCCATCCATACAGAAGGTTCATTCATATCATTCCACAACCCATCCACACCCTTAGGGATGAAGTCTTTAACAAGCTCTGCCCACCAATCACGAACTCGAGCTTGCGTGAAATCCGGAAATACGCTATCTCCAGGCCACACCTTTCCTGATAACAGTAAAAGCAAATGAAACAAAACATCAAGTAATGTACTTTTAGAACAAATAAGAAACACTTGAAGAAGAATATCTAAGTAAAAATCATTAAATGTATTCAACAATAGTGTGTATATATAGTATATACCAACAAAAGGCTTTCCATCTGCAGCTTGAACCCACACATAGTCTTCGGTACCAGAATCGTACACAACGTAGCCCTTATCTTTTTTGATCCCTGGATCAAGTATCCATATTGCTTTGAACCCTTTTTCATGAAGAGTGTCTGCAAGAGATTTCGGGTCCGGGAATCGCTCCTGCAGGCATAAAATTCAATGTCCGTTATTTAGAACGAATAAAATGGTTTGTACAGATGAAGGAAGGAGTGAGAAAAAAACGTGCCTTGTCGAAAGTGAAACAACGAAAGCCGTCCATGTAGTCGATGTCCATCCAGATGGCGTCGCAAGGTATATGTTTCTCCCTGAATGTCTTTGCAATCTGAAACAAAGGATCAATCTCAAAA